GTCCCCGCGCTGCTCCCGAGCGGGTGAGGCCCGGCCGAGCGAGCGGCCGCGCGCTGCCTCTCCCGGGGGACGCCGGGCAGAGCCTCGCCGGAGCGGTGACGGGCGGCGGGGACTGCAGAGATCCTGCAGAGCTGGGAAAGGGAATCGCTGCTCGGAGTAACTCCCCGTTTCTGGTTTGCGGTGTTTGAAGCCCTTTTTTCGGGTTCTTAGAATGGGTATGTGCTGCTAATTCACGGATCTCGTCAGGCGATGGTATTGCTGGGCTTGTCCTTCAGGCCCTCACTGCCGGCAAGCAGCGAGCACGTGGTGGGGAGAGGAAGAGAAATGGGTTTGGGCTGATATTTATCCCTTAGTAGTTGCGTTTGTACTGCTCTCAAAAACTTTACTGACGTGGAGGAAATGTTATTTCTCTTTTCTGTTTGTCAGATTTAAAATCAGAGTGATTATTATTTCTGTTGACATATCAATACCTTTTTTCCAAGAATGGGAGAAACAGCTGTTTTAATAGCCTAGTTAAAAAACATATGATCGTATTTGTAGAGGAATTTGTTTTTTCACTGATATTTATATATTGATAAGCCTTACACATTGTGCCTGAAAGGTTCCCTGACTTGGGAGTTTGCACTGCTGACAGCCAGAAGGTGCTTGGCTGATGTTGTCATGCTCTTTTTGATCCAGTGTAAAAATGGGATGCATTGTTCAGGGTTTAGTAAGAATCCTTGAAATTTATTTTCTGTCTGCTTAAAACTGGGAGTGTTATAAGCCGTCATGGTATAGTACACATTACAGGTGATGCAAAAAGAGAAAAGCACTGATATAACCAGGCCCCAAAGCATAAACTGATAAAGGCTTGCTACGTTTCCAGCTCTGAAGTTAGCATGTGTGCTTTTTTCTTTCAAGCATCTACAGAGTTTTAATACGGGTGTGTTTGGAAATACTGCCCATAGCTTGTGTTTTTTCATCTGCCACCTTTCCTAATCCAGGGTATTTGTATTTTCACTTTCTCCTTTCAAGATGCACTTTCAATAGCTTTTCCTGAAAATGCTGATGGACGGCCTAGTGCCTGCTTGTTGAGCACGCACTTTTCGTAGGCCAGTCAGGTGCAAAAATGCTGTCTTACTGAGAAGTGTTTTTTACTTCTTTCAGGTGTGAAACCTGTAGCAAAGAAGCAGCTAAGTACAGATGTCCACGATGCATGAAATATTCGTGCAGGTATCTGTTATCTGAACTAAGTAGTTTTGATTATTTTCCCCATCCATGTGCTGAACATGTTAATTTTTATTTTTTTTTTTGTCATTTCAGCCTCTTGTGTGTAAAGAAACATAAGCTTGCACTGAGCTGTAATGGAGTCAGGGATAAAACAGCGTTTGTCTCTGTAAATGAATTTACTGACTTGAACCTTCTGAGTGGTAAGAACATACCTTGTGTGTTCTAAAGCTCCCTGGTTTTACTAGGGTGGCACTACATTTTCCTTTGTTCTATTTAACCTTCAGATTATCGTTTCCTGGAAGATGTAGGAAGGACAGCTGATGCTGCTGCTCGACATTGTATTGTGCATAATCCGGCAACAAAAAGACTTGTAAGTTTTTGATTCTCCTTTTGTTCTGTTGGAATTAGGGTTGGCTACCTTTGAATTCCCACTGAGGTAGCCTCAGTCCAGATTCCAGAGCTGGTACCTCTCTTATGAGGGTGTGAATGACACTGAATTTTAGAGCCTGAAATCAAAATAAGTGTCTAGGTTTATGCAGCAATAGTATTGATGACTACATCCAGTTGCTTGGAAGAAAAGATCACTAACAATTCTTAAAATTTATGTGTGACCACTGTTGCTGTTGGATGCTAGATGTCTGTTAAGAAAGTCTGAATGTTTCCTTACACCTCCACAACTTTTGAATTTTTAAGTTATGTACTTCCCAAGTAAACAGTGAATTTATCAATTGCCTGAAAATTGTTATGTGGTTCCCTATATAGCAGATAAAGACAGCTAGAGTTCTTCAAAGACTAAATCTAAGCAAGAGTGACATAAAAGCCAGCCTTGTAAGGGAAAGGGGGTTTTTGCTGAAGCTCTTTCAGCAAACACACACACTCTCCAAAATAAAAGCAATGAACAAACAAACAAACAAACCCAAAAAACTCAACCAATTCTACTCAAAATTTTGACTCATTCATAAATCACAAAAAGGCATCAGGGCCATTTTGTTTCCCAGTCTTGTGAAGGTATCTTGAAATACAGCCCTAAACTCAGGACTCACACCGATGACAGAATAAATTCAGAAGACTCCAGTTTCCTCTCTGGCTGCAGTTACATTGCATGTGTGTGTGTATTTAGCACTATGATGTCCTGAAGATGGGGAGATGCTGCATGGGTGGCAGCTTTATGGGTGTGGTACTGAGCATGTTAATGGGATGGTGCTCTTAGTGCTGCCTTCAAATCAGAATTTGACAGCAGCTGGGATAGTGCTTGTGCATCCATTCTGCCAGCGGGGTTGTAACATAGAAGGCATCCTCGTGGTGGTATTATGGCCACAATGATCACACTGTGACTTCCATGGTATGTTAAAGAACTTTTACTATGAGTAGGTCGTTGTCATGTTCTTTTTTAATAGTAAAAAAACTTATAAAAATGTTTCAGAGAGTTTCTAGGCTTACTTAATTTTTTTCCACTCAGGATGGTTTTTTAAAAATTGAGAGTATTTCATTAAATATGGCCTTTTCTATAGTATTCTCATAATTCCTGTCAGTTTTTTATTGTTTAATTTTCAGGGGGCTTATATACTCAGATTTTTTTTAAAAAATGTTTTTATTTTTTGCCAGTTATACTGCTTAAGGAACAAAGCTCGAGGGTGTAATATTGAGCTAAAAACACTGCCTGTTGGATTTACAAAAAGAAGAGAAAATTCTACCACCTTCAATTCCGTGTGAGTCTTCAGTTGGTTACAGTCAGCAATATTTTATTTTCACTGAGCATATAATGATGAGAATTTAAGTTCATACCAATATACTTGCTTTAAGATCTGTTAGATGCACCTTGTATTTTGCAAAATATTGTTTAATATTTCATGCTTTATGTTTTCATCTTCTTTAGGTTCTTTGAGCTCAGTTTAACAGCTTACATAATTCATACTTTATTTTGAAATATGCTAACGTTGAGTAATGGTAGGAAGAATCAGTGCTGTTGTGGTCTTTTTTTTTATTAACAGTTAGTTTTTTTGCTGGAAAAAGAAAATGCTTCTTTGGAGGTTTTATGATCGAGGATTGATGTAGAAAGCTTGCAGAAATCCCTGCCTCTGAAAAGGCAGACTTCAAATCTGAAGAGGTGCTTCAGCACTTGAGTTGCATTCTGTGATGGGAGTTGCTGTGCTGGAGAATGTGAATGTTTGATGCAGCACAGCTTAGAGAGACAAATGCAGACACATAAAAACTTAAGAAGGCAACTAAGGAAAATTTAAATATTTCTTCCTTTATCCACTCTGTGGTTTTTCTCTGATATCCAGAAATTTTATTTCAAAGTATTTTCACAGTAAAAATGAAAGAAATTATGAGGTATTTCATTGCAACAAGAATCAGGTCTGCAGTTCAGCTCAGTGGTATACTGGGGTCAAATAAAAATGCCTTCTGAGCTTCTCACAGCAGTGACATCCCTGATGGCTCACATCCCCCCGATGGCTCCTTTATTTGTTTTGTTCATGGTCTCAGTTTTGGTGGCAATTTGTGTTTTCAGGATGCACTTTCCCTCTGTTCTGGGAGCTGTGCACTCCACGGTGTCGGTCTCTGACTGGCCACCAGAGGTCTGTCTCTGACAGAGTAATAACCCACCTGGAAACTGCTCAACACACCCACCTGGATCATTTAGGCTGCTCTAGGGAAAATCATGGGCAGGTTTGGTTTTGCACATAGATTTTAGCAGAACATTAGGCATCAAATAGATGTAGAAGTGTAACCTTTTAAAGTTAAATATTTTACCGGTTCTGTCCGAGAAAACCCAGACTGAACCAATGGAAAGAAAGGAAATCTGAGGTAATTTCTCCTCCCTCTGTCTCAGATTTATATGTCTGGTCTTAGAATAGACCAGGTCTGTCGCAGACCTTACAGAGGTTGTCTCCCTCTGCACTGACTTCCCTGTCTTTGGCTGCATGCTCTGCCTTACACAGATCCCTTTTACTAGTCTCATGCTGGAAAAAGTATCTCAGACTTGGAGCTGAGTTTCACTTTAATGGGGAATTTCCTCAATGTAGCAGATAAAACAACATAATGCACTTAAAACATACAGGGTAAGGAGCAGCCCTCAAGAGGAAGCACAGGAATGCTGGGGTCAGTAGCTAAAATTAGAGGACGCAGGGGCACAGACACAGGGAGGTTTGACAGCATTGGGAAGATCCTGGGCATGGTACAGTGCTGTACTGAAGAGACATTTGCCTTCATGTACCTTTTTTTTTTACTCTAGAAAGCCTTTTCAGGTACAGACTGAAGTGTAGCTTGCGTTTGGAGCAAATTAAACTTTGAGCAGATTATTTCATGTGTTTTGTGTACTTTTTGTAGTTTTAACAGAAGCAGACTTAAAATCTAAGAGAATGGGACAAGGAAGGTAACTCCTTGGCAAATAGGCATGGAAATATTTCACAGGCTTTCTGGTAGAATGCCTTACTGGTTGGTGTCATTCATAAAGTCCTAGGGAGCTTTTGTTGTTGCTGTGGAACGGTAGCTTCTCTGGGACTTTTACATCCCACCAGGATGGGGACTGGATAATATTCTCTGTCCTGAATAGCATTGGAAATCACCATCCTTTTCTTGCAAATGCTGTCCAAGTGTATGGAATATGCTCAGTGATTATTACACAAAGGATGTATTTCCTCTCTATTGCTGCTAGTGTTATTCACACAGCAATGGGTTATTTGAATTCAGTGATGCAGATTAAAAATTAACATCTGGGTTCTGGGTTGGGTTTTTTTGTTTTTTGGTTGTTTGTTTTGTTTTTTTTAAATTGGTATGTTCTGCCTATTCTCTTTAAATGGCTTCTAAGGAATCAAGTTTGGTCAAACCAGTGATTATCAGGCATTTAGCACCCATGTCATAGGATTTCATAACACTCACAACATTTTGTTGAATATCACATTGAAATGAGGTAAAGCTGTGCAAATAGTCATATTTCCATTATATGAGCTTAGCACCTGACAGTGCTCAGGGTCTGATCCCTCTCCTTGCAGATGTGAGCCCCTTCTCATGCTGTTTGTCAGTGGAGATTTGTAGACAGATTGCTCCAGAGGGTGGGGGCTGGAAGATGCTCAACATGTGCACGTGGAAAACTGAGAACAGGCTTCTCCCATGTCCTCTTGACACTCTCCCTGTGAGCCAAGCTCTTGGGCAGTATAAGGCAGGAATGAGAGTACTCTGAAACCAGGAAGTACAGGATGTATTCTTGTGTCATCCCCTGCCTGTGCCAGCGCTGGAGGACAGATGAGTGTTGTTTCGATGTGTTAACCAGACTCTTCATTTCCTGGATTCCATGAGTTTGTTTGCTAAATCTGATGTTGTGAAAGCACACATGCCAATGCTGGGCAACACATGGATTAGACTAATGTGTAATATTGAATATCTAGGTAATGGAGGGTCATTAGAAAGTAGAGTCTGAATCCAGAGTGTGAACTCATGGTGCATCTGAGTTCTTATTCATAAATTATTTTTAAAGTGCTGCTTCACCCTACGTTTCCTGTGGTGCCCTTATTTTCAGTGAATCTGAGAGTTTCCCACAGGATGCGTTCTGCCATGGAGTTGATGGGGTGAATTGCTGGGATAGGCAGCCTCTGGGGAAAGGGGTGAAAGATGAGGCCAGGCTGAAACCAAGAGCAGGAGCAACAGCGGGGAAGCTCTAGCCAGCAGGTGGAATGGGAAGAGGGGAATGAGCTTGCAAGTCCATGGCTCCTGTTCCCTGGCAGGAAAGATACAGTGAGACACTGAAATGGGGCAGTGTAGTTCCCTTAGCTCTGCAGCTTGTGCTGCTCTGCTCCAGCCCTCCTTGCTGCTTGCTGTCATAGATATCTCCAGCCAGCTTCCTCCACGCTCCACAGCATATCTCCTGGTCAAAATCCTTTTTACCTCTCTTCCCCACCAAGAGGGGCCAGAGGGCTACAAACCTCTCTTGTAGCAGGCATGCTTGCAGCCTGGGAGCATTTGGTCAGAGGGATATATGTGGGCGAAGAAGGAAGGTTTTACATTCCCTCTCCTCTTTGATGTAATTGTGAGAAAAAAAATACAGTGTGGAGATTTGGGATTAGCATAATTTAGGAGATCATAGGTGTTACACTTTGAGATACACCTGGAAGTTCTAAAATGTCAGCTCCAATCCTTAGCTAGATAGACAATTTAATTTATTGTTGGAAGTGTTGATTTTGAGAATATAGAAAGGAGTTTTCTGATCTGGGTATTGACTTAATATTACACCAGTGGAGCTGTTAAACTTGAATTTAGTTGTTACTTAGTACATAGGTTTGCTTGCTTTCGTGGACCCACGAAGAAGAAAGTTAAGTTGCTAAAGGAAAGAAGGTCAAGGAAGGTAATATTATCCAAAACTGTATGAGCTGAATGCTCAGTACTTCAATTAAACTTCAGTGCATTCTGAGAGAGTACTAGGTGCCAGATGAAAAAATAGCTGGTCTGTTACTAAACTTCATGTCTTTTTAATCACTTTGATGAATTCAAAATGAAAGAGACAGGAAATGCTACAGCATTTGCACTTTGATGTAAGATACCCTGTATACTAATATTTTAAGAATACTAGTTGCTAAATTGAAAGCAAATCATCAATGAATCACTGTCTTTGACAGGCTGGCAGTGAAATACTTCTGTAGAAACAGAACTGCAGTTGATGTCTTAAGATGTGATGAATTTGGAATTTTTTGTCAATAAATACTTCAGTTTGCATACATATATACATGCACTTTTAAAAACACCTTCTAAGCATGTCTAAAACAGCTCTACTGCATTCTAGACAAAACTGAGAGGAAATGCTCAGAGGAAGCCTAGGTAAGAAAGTTAAGCTTTATGAAATATTTCATATATTTTTTAAGAAGTGCATAAACATTAGACACTTCTAGAAATCTGCCAAGGCACTTAACGGGTTTGCCCAAGTTCAGAATCCTTTGTAGATCAGTCCTGTAATCCTCAGCAGCTGTACTGTCTACAAACAGTATTTTGAGTATCTTCTTAGGTAGTACTCTAACTGTAAAGGTAGTGAAAATTCTCAGTTGTTCTGAGAGTCAGCTGGAGGAGACAGCCAATTTGTATATACTGCTGCTGTCTTTGTAACATCAGAAGTAAAAATGTTTCCATTGTTGCTGTGAAAAAATTTGAAATCATCTACCCATTGGTCTGGGAGAACTACAGTTGATGACAAAATAAGTTTCTGGAAGTTTTAGGAGAAATGAAAGGTAGATAGTTACTTCTAGTAGAACTGTAGTTGTGAAACAGCCTGTGTGGTTCTGAATGTATTTTGCATCTATATCTCACGCAGACAGAGAGATGCTTGGCTCCCCTTTTCCCTCAGATCCATTTCCATGTTTCTGAAGTAGCCAGAACAGGAGATGAAACCAAGCAGTGCAGGGATGGGCTATGATGCTACTTTTACTGACATCATTGAAGCTTGTGCTTCACCCAGATCTCTGCTGTTTGGTAGTTTTATAATCAGTGCCTTGGTATCCAAAAAACCAAGGCACTGTTGGAGGGGCATTCCATGGCAGCAGAGTGGCATGAAATGCTTCATGGAGTGAGCTGTTACTCAAATGCAGATGACTTATTCAATTAGGCATTTTCATTTCGAAAATGAACATGCTACATGTTGGTTGTGTTTGAAGGAAACACTACCCCAGTGAGCCATAATGGAAAATGAAGTCAGTGAGATCTGGAGCCAGGATATCTAACTTTGATCAGAACTTGTTGCGAAGCTACTTTGATAGCATCTACAGTTGGCATCAAGTTCTCTGGGCACACATCAGTGATGGTGAGGGATGCTTCACTTCAATAACAGGCACCGAGCAAGTTGTTCTTCAGTACTTCATTGTACAGTGAAGAGTATGAGGCTATTTCTGTTACAAGCTTCTTTTTTTCCTGCCTGCTTCTCTCCTGTTCTTAAACTACCTTGCTTCTTTCTGCTTGCCATTTACTTCCAGGCAAGAGTACTTTAAAGAGAGACGAAGTCATTAATTGCCAGTATTAGTATTATGGTATTAGTTTGCTGAGAAAAAAACATCAACATTTCTGTTTTTTCAAAGTGGAACTTTTTGATGAAAAATGCACTTTTTACCTTCAACTTCCCTGATGCACAGCACTTCCTGTGCACTATTCCATAGACTAGATTGTGCCTGGATGGGGGAGGGACGGCAAAAGTCTGAGAAGAATCCTCTTAAGCTGATTTTACAGCTGCAGTGATGAACTGAGTCTGCCTCAGTGAGCCCACAGGGAATCAGTCTTGCATGTGAAATGAGGATGTGCTGTGTGACAACCATTTGTACAGACACATGACGAGTGTTCCTAGCAACAGGTAGAAGATACCTAAAAGTTCTTGTCAGAGCATTTCTTTTTCAAGTGCCTGTGTTAGAGACAGTTCTTGGGGCCACGTGCATGTTTCTGTGAGCTGTCATGGTTTGTCCCTCTCATGCTTTGGCTGTCGTGATTTAAAGATCAAAGTGTCACAGAAAGGGTTGGTCATTTAGAATAGATAAACATGGCCTGTTTGAAAAAATTGTGGAAGATGGTGAGTTAAATGAAAACTTGCTAGCAAGCCTCATGTTGGTTAATAACACAGAGCAAAATCCTCTTCTGAACAGTCCTTATAAATATTTTAATAAATGTGTCCATCATGTTTCCTTCAGCTAATGGTGGTGACCCTATTTCTGTGTCTAAAGCTTACTAACTTTTAGTAGTCTCCCTGGGAAAGTGCTTTGAAATAACACCATTCCATGTTAAATGGCAGATATTAAGATGACTGAGAGGAATCACAAGCTTGTTAATCGCAAGGGAACTGAACTGGTTACATAACCCTATCAAAATTCCAGTTTGTTCTGTGTGTATGGTAGCATTAGTGCTCCCTTCAGCTGTCAAGACAAGAAAAACCTTGTTTTACTTACCTTGCAAAAAACTCCCAAAATTCCACTCAATGGTTTTAAGGTATTTCAAAACATTTTGCAGTTTGGTAATTTAAGACTGTCATACCAATATGCAAAATAGCATAAAATTCATGGGCCCAAATACTTTGCCAGCTTCTGGTTATATATATGCTATATGTTTTCTGTGTTTTCCTTCATTTGTGGTCAGACAATCTTACCTTTTCCAGACCTGATGTTCTCTAATTCCACCTTTCAAGGCATTCTCATTCTCCACTTTAACAAGCACAGGAGCAGAGAGAAGGGAGGAACCACAAGGCATGCTGCACAACTCTGCTGAGGCACACATTGCTTTGGGAACCCTGGGCTTCATTTATTTTATTCTAATTATTACTTTCTTGGAGCTGGGGGTTCCTGCTTGCTCTTTTTTTTGGTAAATCTGATTTTATTTACACTCCAGAAAATAATAGTTCAATTGTAAAGCTCACTTTTCTCCTAGGAACAACTAGGTAAAGGAATTATTTATTTGATAAGCTCACTTTATAAAAAGTGCTTACATTTAAAAATTGATATCACAGTTAATTGATCTTAGCAGCTAAGTTTACTATTTCGCTAGTGGATGCACATACACTCCTCTCTGCAACCAGCTAGAACATGCTGGATAATATTTCATTTGCCTGATAAACAAATTAAACATGTTGGAACAACACTGTGTTTACTTTTTATTGTAAACCAGAATCTTTGGATAACTGAGGGTGATTATCCTGGATGCAGTAATTCTTTGGTTTGAAATACTGTTTATAAAAGTAGTTAAAAAAAAAACACCATTAGATGTCCCTGTGCTTCACAGATGTTTGAGCTCTGATTTCTAAATCTTTGCTGTTTGTCATGAGTGTGAATTTCTGAACCAGAGCAAAAGGCCAGGAACCTACCTTTTAGGCTGTGCTTTCTCTTAGGGAATTCCTTTAGAAATGTTTCTGCATATTTTCTGCAAATAAGCAAAAATGCAAGTAGAGACTGCCCAATCTAGCAAAGTATTCTCTAGAAGTACAGGCTAAGATGATGCTGTTCTCAGTAGCTTCTGTTCTCAGGTATTACTTATGCTAGCTGGAAAGAGAAGGTAGGTCTTAAAAATAACAACTAACATAAAGAAGAAAGGAATGTGACATCACTTTGTCCCTACCAGAAATTTTACGATCTTTCTGTAAAATGTTTGTTCTTTCTAACTTCTCTTATCCGTGTTATGCCAGAAGGCAACTTCCTTCCCTGGCCATGACGCATTTTCTATTGAGGCCATCATAGCTGGAAAAAGTTGAGTCCCCTGTGTTCTGTAGGACCCGGCCTCAGCTGGGACTCAGGCTATTATTGTTGCAGAGGTTTGGTAATCTGTCCTGGTGTATATGCCAAAAAGCAGTTTCCTTTTCTGAAATTAAAGGGCAGCAGGAATATACTTACTTTTAAAATGTGAAATACTTTTGATCAGTTAATTGATGATACTGTATTTGTAAGTAACAGATTTTCATCCCATGAGAACTTGAAATTTAGCAGGATGTGGGAGTGCTACATCTTTCAAAGGACACCTCAGCTTCTCTGCATGTCCCTGTTACTCTTTGAAGCCATTCAAAATCTTAACCATGTCTTTTCTTCTGCACCCGTGCTGTAGGTTACCAAGCTTTATCATAGAAAAATGGTAGTTGTTACCTACTAAGACTAAGAATATGCATTTCTTTTTGTTTCCAGGGAGAACAAGTTCTACTGGCATTTGAAGCTCGTATTTCCTCACTGTCATGCTGAATACACTTTAAAAGGGTACAGAACTTTAAAAACTATTTTTATAAAGTTTAAATTAATCTGTTGAAGTTGAATTGCAAAATACTTGGATCAGTTCTTACCGAGTTCTTGTAACAGGGTAAACTTAGGTATTAATTTTAGTCTTAAATAAAAGGGCATTTCAGTCTAAAAAACAATTGTATAGTCCTTTTCTCTCTGAAAGCTAGCAGGCTTTCCAAGTCAGGCTTAATGTTTGTTAGTCCTTTTCTCTATGTAAATAGAGAGTTTGTATATTCATCATAGTAGTAACCCTGCACGTGACATACTCTCTTCTCATGGAGCAGATGTTCAGCACGATTTGCCACCCCTCCTCACCTGCACTCTGAAGCTAACCTTCATACAGGGTGAAGTGATTGCATTGTTTGCTTTGTAGGAAAGTCCACAAACACATTTTGAAAAGACAAAAAAATAAGCTGTAATTGACAAATGCTTCTCCTTTTTTCCTAGCCTGAAGGGAGATGAGAAGTATGTCCTTGTCTGCTTCTAGGACTGCTGGAGCAGCTTGTTTCTTTTGCAGGGTTAGAAACTAGAGATATGCATGTTTACTCCTTAAAAGTGCCTGTGAAATCCAGTGCTGAAATTGAGATAAAGCTGCTGATATCTGTGCAGTATTGATGCACGTTTATGATCCTCCCATAAACTACTCAGCTGTGCCACTGTAGCATGCTAATCTACAGCTTCCTTCAGGTGACTCACAGTAGAAATTTGTGTACATGATGAACGATGTCTCACATGCTTGATTTTTATCTTTGCTGAAAGGGTGCCTGATGATAAAACACTTGCTGATATCCTCAAGCCATACATTGATCCAGTGGAGTCAGATCCTGTAGTTTGTCAAAGGTGTGTACTGAACTTTCCTTCCTCGTTGATCTAATGCACTAATAAAAGGGAATGGTTCTGAATACATGGCTTACATTAGCTACAGTACCAGCTTGCAGAGCTGAGTTCCCAGTCAAAAGTACATCTTTAATTCCTGTGTTGAAAACCATCCTAACATTCACCAACCAACTAACCCTGGGGTACAGCCACCAAATTTAAACCAGCAAAAAATTAAGAAACTGACTCACGGCACGCAGACCAAATAAAGCAACTGTAATTCTGGAAAATGTAATCATAATTAACCTCAATGGACGCAAGAGTAAACCTTCAGAATAATTAGAAAAACATGCTAATAATTACAACCCTCATTCATAGAAAACACCTGATTATGTGACAAATTATTGTTTTAATGAAAATATACATTATTTTGGCTCTTAACATACATAAGATAGCCATTTCTTATGAATGACGGGAAGAAAAGTAATTTTACATAATTTCTGCATCTTCACTGCTTTTTTTTTCAGATTAAAAATCTATACAGCATCTCCTCTATCAGATGTACGAATTTTAATGAAAATAGAAAACAGGAGCCGAAATTCTATCAGGTAAGGTGCTTCTTCAGTTTATGTGCTTACTAATTAAAAACAGTAAGAAGATCTAACACATTTCTTAGTCCTTAATATTACAATTGGAGATTACATAATCTCATGGATAAAGCTAGTGAGTAATGGTTACAAATTGGTTACCAATTACAAATGGTTTTAAAAATTATTTGGCAAAATTGCTAATTCTTTGTCTTTTAATATGTCAGCATTGACATTTCAGTGCAATTACTGAGTATGCCTGTACCTAAGCTGCTTCAGCAGCAGTCCCTGCCAATGTAACAGAATACAGGTTTGTCTTAAAATGCTAAATAACTATAGTGACCCTCAGAAATTCATACATCCATTTCTTTCTGGAGGTTTCTCTGTGGATATGTTAACCTTCCAGAGGGAGTTGAAGTGATAGTCAAGATGATACTCAAGAGTTATCTTTTTAAATAAGCAAAAATTGTATTTTTATCACATTGCAGTCCAGTTCACTGCATTTGAAATTACACATTTTTCTCAAAGTTACTTGCTCATCACTCTTCATGTTACTGTATTCCTGGGTGTGGGCTTTTATGTCTTCAAAATTCAGACTTGTGCAGAATTGTTTTCTTTGTTTTCAGAACAGATAGTAATCTTGAACTTCAAAATTAAACTTTAAAGAAATATTTTTTGCTAGTATAAATACCATTCCCAACACTCCACCCTGTTGTCACATTGTTACTGAAAAGGATATGTATCAGCTTAGTATCATAACTTACTGTGGTTCACCAGTGATTCCTAGTTAAGCGTCTGAAAGTACATTCTCATCTTCAAAGGTAACAAATGAAAATGATATGCTTCCCTAAAATATGATACATTATTTATACGGAGGGAATAAGGGTATGTTGTAAGAATTTTAGCTCTAACTTAGGTTCCAGTTTATGCTGAGTTTTTTTCACAGTAATACTAAAAAATGTGTAATGTACTTTTCAGTTCAAATTCAAGTGCAAACTCTTAATGATTTTGATGGATTTTTTTTCCCCTTCGCAATCATTATTTGAAATATGGTTGTAACATTTGCCATCAGAATTGCCAGCTAGAAACCTGTTGTTTTTGCATGAATTTGAAGATACAGAGCCCTGGTTCATATATGCAGGGGGGAAACATGAAACACCATGGACTGCCTAGTACTCTGTGTCTGAGTTTTATAAGTGTGGGAATAGTGAGTTCTCATTTGTGAACACTGAAGTTGTAAGGGGCCAGCTGTTTCAGCTGAATATTCAGAAGTCCAAGGAGCCTAGTGGGTTTCATCCCAGAGTACTGAAAGAGGTATTGGATCTTATGGCAAGACTCCTCTTGATCATATTAAAGGCCTTGGGGTCTGAGGAGGTCCCTGCTGTCACGTTCTAACCTAGCAGGCAGCTAAACACAGTTCAGGCACTCACACAGCACCCCACAGCATCCCAGGGGGATGGGGAATGATTCAGAAAGAGAAAATTAGAATTATTGTGTTGCGATAAAGACAGTTTAATAGGACAAAAAAGGAAAGGATGAGAATGATAAAAGAATTTGAATATACAAAACAACTGATGCCCAGTGAAATTGCTTACCATCCACTGACCAGTGTCCAGCCAGTTCCTAAGCAGTTGCCCCCAGCCAGCTTTGTTTTTAATTTAATTTAATTTGCCTGTAATGTTGGCCAGGTGTGGTGTGGAATATCCCTTTGGCCTGTTGGGATCAGCTGTCCTTGCTGTGTCTTCTCCCAGCTTCTTGTGCCTTCCAGCCTACTTGCTGATGGGGTGGTGTGAGGAGTTGAAAAGATCTTGACAGTATAAGTCTTCCATATTTCCTTTTTTAAGAAAGAAGGAAAACTTTTCTAACAGCTGTGTAGGAGGTTTGGGAAATAAACCAGTTTAATATAGAAGTTGACTATCTCTTGTGCTCATTAGGGTTTTTTTTGTTACTTAACCATTTGCCTCTTCTGAAATATCTATAGCTTTTCCTTATGTCACAGGTTTGAACGGGAATTCTTGTTCATTAAATTAAATTAACCTAAATATTATGAAGTCTGAGACTTCTCTGTATTCCTAGAATCAGCCTATGTTGGTTGATAATGAGGTTGGAGTAACTGGTATTTATCTCACTTAGTGAATGTTAAGTTTAAAGTATAGGAAAATCAGAAAGTTAAAATAGAAGCGTATTTTGACTTAAGAATTGCAGTTCCTCACTTAGAAATTATGTGAATCTTTTCATATAAGTTGGTGGAGCAGGCCCAACTGGGGCAGTACCGACAGGTCAAGGAAACAGCATACTGAAAAAAAATTCCTCCTCTGAAAGGAAAGAACAAAGTTTGTTTGAAATGACGGGACTGCTATGTCAGCATAAAGTCACTTCTGTCGACATAAGCTGTGTCTGTGCCAGCGAGCGCTCTCAGCACAGTTGTGACAAAGCCTCTGTGAGGGAATTCAGATTTTTACTGTAGTTGCATTGCAGTTAAGTAAGAGAGAATTTGTGTCAGTTTCTTCTCCTTTTGGTTCCTCGTCCCTATATTAATCAGAGAGTATTGTTTGTACTCTATGGATCAATACCTGGAATTGCAGTGGAAGTATTTGTGATCCAAACATGACCAGCTTGCTGCTTAGTGGTCTTCCCTGTGGATCAAAAACTGAGTGGAGACAGAGCTCCCTCACCTTTCTTTATCTAGGTTTCTTTAACAGTGGGAAGTGTTAACTGCTGGTTTGTGTAGCCTTGAGTGCTGCTGTCAGCTCAGTGTAATTTCTCATCCTGTGCCTCCTCATTCTGCGTGATTTTATGCTGCATATTCCTGTATGGCAAAATGCTCTTCCATCACTTTGTGGGCAGACTGAAGGAGTAGGATTGGTGTAGGCTACTCATACACATAAGTCTACATTAATGTTTTGTTATCTGCAACTTCTGTGCTCACCAGAAAAATTTCTTCTCCACAAGCACTAGATTATAGAAAAGTTGTAAATATATGTCAGATGCTGGTTTTAGACTTAGCAGAACTTTTGGGAAAAAAATCCTTTTCACACTTAAAATTTTGTATTATTGAGGAAGTGCAGTGGTGTTTCAGGAAGTATCTAAGCAGGATTATAAAATGTTAGTCTTTTAGTTTTAAGATAAGTGTGTTACGGAAGTATTTCCTGCAACTGTTTATGAAACAGGAGTCTGTGGTTTAGTTTTGGTTGTTTTCTGTGTTTCACAGCAAATCGTCCTTTTAGTTTGAAGGTTCTTTGTAGAATGCTTTAAATTTTTGGGGTTTTATTTTTTTCCTTTCTCCAGAAATATAAATTAGCCATGAAGTACTGATTTCTGCTTTCTCACAGGAGTTCTGTAGAACTTAAGAAAGCCACTGGTGTGCAGATATAATGGATAGCTGCCAAACACTGTACTTGCTTTCTTGCTATGTGTCTTTTACCATCAGTGGTGACAGTTCTAGAGAACTTCATGGTAAGTTCTTATTTCTGTCTTCTCTAAAACCAACTTGTAAGGATTGTTTTCAGTATGAACTGGTAGCACTCCACAGTTAATTTGGGTAACTTAAAGCATCATTTCTCCTCATGTCTTCTCAGCTTTACCTGTCATCTCATGCCCTATAACTCTTAGTTACACTTGGTTAATCTTCTCATTTGCTACACTTGCTTTATGAGGAATCTTGCAAAGGAGGGTTTCAAAAAATAAGCATTACATAACTCTCTTTTTTGCTTAAAACCTTTTGGTTTTAAGGGAAATTTGGAAAAAATCTGCATTTGAATGGGTCAGAATAGTTTTCCATTTGGTACTGCTTGCTTTGATCACATGTTACGCAATTTAGTCAGTATTGGTGTCCATTCTCTCTTCAGCTGTAACTATTCCAAGAAAGGTTTAATTTCTGCCTCTTGGATGATTTTTATAGTCTACATTCTTTCATAAAGTAGTATTTTCTTTCTTCAGGATAAATTAATGTCATGACTGTCTTCAGACCTTTATTTGGGATGCCTTCAAAGTGATTTCATATGATAAGAGTATTGGTTTTTCCAGTAAGGAAAGGAAAGGTGCAACAGCCAAATTACACAGTGTGGTTTGGGAAATACACCTTCTCATTATCCTGAGAATAGCCTTATCAGGCTTTGTGTAACAAGAAACCTAAACCAAGACAGCAGCCAGCCCTTCCCAAAATCACTTTCCTGTTGTAAAACTGCCACATCATAGAGGGATGGATACAGAATCAGTTGTGGAATTGTTTTCTGTATCAGTAGTACTGGTGTAGTTCATGCTTCAATTACTCAGAAAGCAAAAAATACCAAAAGGATTTTTGTGCCATTTCCAACATCAGGGGGCTTCTTAACTGTCTGTGGTGGCACTGGCTGGGGCACATGAGAATAATGGCATGTTTGTCACTTAATTCTTGTGGACCACAGGGAAGAAAATCTGCTAAACAAGTATCAGAGGTTCTCCTCTACTAAATGCCATTTTTTTATGGTGGTGAACATTTCTTTTGCTTTAACTGATTTAATTCAGTTGCTTTCCAGAAGGCTGGATGATGTTAGTAATTCTGGATCACTTCCCTGTCTCAAGATCAGCTGGCAGAAATTTGAGTTATTTCCTTGGATGACTTAACTCTGTGCTCAAAGAGAATTTTCTTTTGTAGTCTATTGTTTTTAAATAACTATGGGTTAGATCACATCAGTAGGTTGTAGTGGTCACAGTAATAGGTTTAGGAAGGTGAAGCTTTTTGTCTTAGTATGTGCAAATAAACCAACAGACTTTTGGAAAATTATCCTGGAATTCAAAAAGTACTAGAAATATAATGGAAACACATTTTTAATGTAGCATTTAGATTATTTATTTCCTTATCTTTAAAAATATCTGTTAAATACTTGTTTTGTCAGTTACTTCAAGATTATTTTTAAAACCCTGTTATTGAAATACATTGAAGGTAGCCTCAGGTATTGATCTGTTAATGTTTTCCTTAGTTTTCCATGCTCTCTTCCTTGGGAACTTCTTCCTGCATTATCATTTGTGAATAACTTCAT